TAATTATTTTTTGAAACTTAATGTTAAATTTTTAACGGGTACTAAAATGAATAAAAAATATTTTATATACTTTCATACCAATATCTACTAATTAATGTTGAATGTTAAATTTATTAAAGAATGCATTAACGTAAAATATATATTCTTCTAATAGTTTAAGATAATTATAAGATAATATTTATTTATAGTTTTTTTAACTTATTAATAATGTGTACACTTCTAATCTTATATTTCATCAAAGGAATGTTGTAATTATATATATATATATATATATATATATATATATATATTGAATAGTAAGATAATTACATAATATTATCTCTCATAGTCTTTTTTTAATCAAGGATAATGCACACATCTTTGCATACGAAACTGTTTAAACTCAAGAGTTCAAAAGAGAACAATATTCCCTTTAACGACTAAATTAATTATTCTCGAGATAATCTTAAATTCCGTGAATTCAGTCCCGAAGCAGAAAACGCTCTGGGCTTATGGATCAGGAGATTCGTAACCATCGGGGTTGTTCATGGCCCAGTTCCACTGATCCCTGCACATGTCCTCAACGCTGTATTCAGCTTTCCAATTCAGCTCACGCTCCGCCTTCTCAGTCGAAGCATAAACTATTTCACCGTCACCGGCTCGCCGACCGGCCATGACCAGAGGTATTTTCTTCCCGGACGCCTTCTCAAACGCAGCCACCATCTCCAAAACCGACGTTCCTTTCCCACTCCCCAAGTTGTAGACTTCACAGCCAATGTCCGGATCAGATAGCTTCCGCAAGGCGGCCACATGGCCTCGTGCTAAATCGACAACATGAACGTAATCACGTACGCAAGTGCCATCTCCGGTGGAATAATCGTCGCCGAACACGGTCAACGCCGGTCGCTTGCCAACCGCCACTTGCTGCATGTAGGGCATGAGATTGTTTTGGGGTTCCACGGGGATGTTCTCCGATGTAGCCGCTCTGATGTGCACCGACAGGGTTGAAATATCTCAGTAATATTATCTTCCACTCTTGGTCTGCACGCTGTACGTCCCTGCACATATGAACAGTATCAGTGAATTATTCGTAAAACGTTCGTATAACATTCTTTAACGTTTGTTAAGCTAAATTAATAAATATAAACAAAAAAAATTATTTTCATTTAATAATCTAATTAATACAAACATAGGTGTATTTGGTTTATTTATGTTCACGAATAAACTTGTTTATGAACTCGTTTATCGACTTATTCATTTATGTTCATGAACAAATTCGTTTACCGGGTTCTCCTTTTCCTTGTAAAATTAAAATTTGAACATATGAACGACGATAAACAAAATATTAAATGAACACGTTCATAAACACTAAATGAATATATTCGTGAACATATAAACGAAAATGTTCGTGAACAATATATAAACGAACACGAACAACTCAAAAATAAATAAACGAACACAAATAAGATACTGAAAATTTAAATGAACATGAACCGAACATGAACATGAACATCTTTAAAAATAAACAAATTAACACCATAATAACATCTACCTGCACATCTCTTCGACGACTGGCTTGGTTCTTCCATAAGGATTGATTGCATCCACAGGGAAGTCTTCTCTACACGGCACCTCCTTTGGCCAACCGTACACGGTGGCCGATGATGAAAATATAAGGCTTTTACATCCATGTGCATCCATTACTTCCAACAAGGTGATTGCTCCCGATGATGTTGTTGTTGTAGTACATCAATGGCTTCTCCATGCTTTCTCCTACGGATTTTAATCCGGCGATGTGTATGACGGAATCTATTTTTGTTCCGGTGAAAAGTTTTTGCAGGGCTGGTTTGTCTCGAAGGTCAAGCTCGTGAAAGTGGAGGTTGTCGCCGTGTTCGCCGGCGAGCTCTTTGACTCTGCGGATGGAAGCACCGGAGGAATTGTTGAGATTGTCAACCACCACCACATGGTAACCCGCCAATAGCAGCTCTAGCACGGTGTGGCTTCCGATGAAACCAGCACCGCCGGTCACCAAAATGTTCTCAGGCATGGCGTATTTTCTCTTTATTTGAAGGAAGCTTAATTCTCCCAACCCAATCTATCACGACTTAAATAGCGGTAGCGATGTATTTGGTTCAATTCGATTCGATTTTTCACTAAAATATGAATTAAATCCTACTTTACGGGTTTTTAAAAATTGAAATCGAATGTCATAAAATTTACGATTTTAGTTTTGTTCGATTCGGTTTTGCGGTTTTTGAATGTTTACTAATTTTCTAAACTCAATCTAAAAAAATTTAAATCTTAAATCGAGTGCAAATATATAAATTTAAATTCAAAAAATATTATTAGTTTTAAGATTTTATTTTTTTAAATTTGTCTTATAAAAAATCAAAATAAATTTGTTTTAGATATTTATTTATTTTCTTTTTTTTTTAATTCGGTTTGCTTCAGTTCAAACGATTTTAATATGGAAAACTCAAAACAGAACCGAATTGTAAATTGAAAAACTTGAACCAAACTAAACTGCATAGTCCGATTAGAATTGATTTTTATTTTTCTTGGTTTCGTTGCTCGACTCTAAATAGCAGGTAAATTATGTGTTTTAATACCTAAACTATCAATTTTAATCTATTTTAGTACCGTAACTTTCAATTTATTTTAAAATCATACCTAACGTTTAGTTTCGTTTCATTTTAGTACCCCATTATTAAAAACTTAACGCGTTTAGTAACTAAACTATTAGTTTTGATTCGTTTTAGTACTTAAACTTTCAATTTTTTCAAAACTTAACATTAAGTTTTTAACGGGTACTAAAATAAAACCAAAACTAAACGTTAGGTATGATTTAAAAAAATGAAAGTTTAGGTACTAAAACAGACAAAAATTGATAGTTTAAGTACTACATGTATAATTTACCCTAAAATTAAACTCTTCTATCTACTTTAAGAGAATATTACCCGACCTGAAACTTAACTCAATTATTTAGATTAAAATTTATATCTTATATAAATTGACTCAAACATAAATAAGCATATAATTCATTTTTATTAGATAAAGTAAAGAAATAATTAAAAAAATAATATAGACGAGTATTATTAATATATATATATATTATCTCTAGTCGGATCAAGTTAAACTTTTTTATCTTAATCTCAAATTCGATCAACTCAAATTGAAACCTACTGAATTCGGGTCAAATATATGTCTCTATGGTTCAGATCAAGTTTCGTAGAAGTCCATTATAGAGGTAACTTTCATAGCCAAATTCGCTTTATTCACGATTATTAAAATTCAAACTCCCGACTTTGTTAAAAAAACTTAATATCTCGTCCAACTAAATTAGTAATTCTTGATATTAATATCTCGTTTGTCATACTATGGAAAAGAAAAGATAATCACGTAATTATCTCCAATGACCTTTTTTATGTTTATAGTCTAAATACAAGTAACACAGACAACATTTTAGCTTTAAAAATATTATCTTTGTACATGATTTTCTTGACTATTGACTATTGTGCTACACATTAAACTGGAGATGGAAAATGATTGATCTTTTACAGTAGTAAAAAAATAATAAGGGTATTTAACCTATCAGTTTTGGTCTATTTTAGTACTTAAACTTTTTTATTTTTTTGAAATCATACATAAAGTTTACTTTTTGTTTCATTTTAGCACACTTGTTCAAAATTTAACGTTAAGTTTAGAGAGGAAAAAAAATGGAAGTTTAGGTACTAAAATGGGCCAAAACTGATAGTTTAGATACTAATCGCGTTAAGTTTTTAACGGTGGATACTAAAATGAAACAAAAACTAAACTTTAGGTATGACTTTGAAAAAATTAAAAGCTTATTAAAAATATCAAAACTGATAGTTTAGGTACTAAATGCATAGTTTACTCTAAAAAAATTCTCTCTTTTCATTTTTGGGCCATGAAGGCACTATCTCATGCTCTAACCTTTGTTTGATGTGTTCTACCAATGCGCCAATCATCACAGTGGGTGTTCTTTAGACCCATAATTTTTAGATCACCTTATTTTGATCCTCTAAATCTGAATTCGACCTATTTCATATGAATCTATTATCTCCGAACATCTAAAACCTACGTATATCGAAAGAGAGAGAAGGAAAAAAAGGTTAATGAAGCAATATAAAAGATAAATTTTTCTTTTTTCGGCCCATCTCAAAATAGAAATGATCCAATAATCAGATTACGAGATCAAAAGTCCGGAGAGAACTTTTGAGGTTTTTGTGGAGATTTTATGAGAAACTAAACCGACAAACTTGTAGAGGAAGAAAAGAGGAGTTATACGACGTTATTGTGTTAGTTAAAAGTTATGTTAGACGATGACAGTTCGATGTCTTGAAGTTTATGACGCTATATTTGTGAGTTTTGAGATATTTTTCAGTTAAACAAATATCAAATTTGCATTCATGAGGACTAAACAAGTGAAAGACGACTCATCATCCACCATCGACAACGGTTGTTGGTGGTTGGTATGATAACCTATCATGACAAGTGGTGACGATATCTAAGTAGATGGAAAAAAAGAAACGCAAAAAAGAAAATACGAAGAAAATGGTTTATAAGAATACAAAATAAAGTTTTCTGGTATAAATTATAATTTTTAAAACGATATATTTTTAATATCATCAGTCATATCATAACTCTATTAATTATTTAAGGATGAAATGATCAAAATATAAATAATGTTAAAATTGAGTGGCAAAATTAAACATAATTAATTTTTAGTGACCTATTGAAATACTAATAATAATTACAATAACTTCCTTGATTTAATTGTAAGGATGAGGTTTTAGAGTTCTAGGAACTTTGAGATCTAGTAGTCGAATATTGAATGAGCTTAAGGTCCCCGAATTTTGAAAATTTCACATTATAGCCCTTAAAAGTTTTAAATTTTTTGTTTGACATTTATAATTAGTGGTTTATTTTTTTAAAAATATTATATTTTTTAAAAAAAATAAATCACGTTGTAATATTCATAACGTTCAGAAACGCTACAGCCACAATTTAATACTATATCATATAAAATTAAAGATTCAAACATTTTAATACATGTTTACGTAAGTTATCTCCCCTTCACGTACCTTTATTGCATGCATTATAGCTTAATGAAACATTGCATAAAACAGTTCAATGTTTTATGCACACACACGCACATTATCACTGCATGAGACTACGAATACTTCAAGGCTGATGTGGAGCAAACGGCGGCCATTTTCCGAACTTGGGGTGGTGGAAGTACTTCGGATGAAGCTTGGGGATCGGCGGGCACGGCTTCTTTGGGATTGGATGGATCTTCGGAATCGTAGGAAGCGGGTGAGGTTTCGGCTTGTAAATCGGAACTGGATGAGGCTTATAAACCGGAGGCTTGTAGACCGGAACTGGATGAGGCTTATAAACCGGAGGCTTGTAGACCGGAACCGGGGGCGGAAGCGGCTTCTTGTAAATCGGAGGGTGAGGATAATGATGGTGGAAGAAGCTTTTCAATGGTGAAAGTGGTGGAAGCTTTGGCAATGGAGAGAACTTATGGTGGTGGTGTGGCCAAAAAGAGGCGGAGGCACACGTTATCGGCGAGAATTTGAGCTTCCCTTTCAGCCCGAATCGGTGTTCGCCATCGTCCCCGGCGGATTTGAAAATGATCTTGGAGGATTCGAGGCCGTCGAGGGAAGGGCAAGGTTGAGCCGATGCACTGTGGAGCTGCGCGTAGCATTGCTCCTTTAATTTACCATCTTTAACCATGTCTCCGGCAAGGGATACTTTGAATTTGCCTTCATCGTCGAGCTCGCCGGAGCCTCGGGTTTCGAAGTTTTCGCCTTTTTCCGGCTTGCAGTCTATGGTAACACGAAGGCCTGCAAAGAAAAACAACAATAAGATACAACATCATGGATTTTAACGAAGACCTACATGCATATGTATAAACATAAGCCAAATTATGGTTTTTGTCCCTATACTATACTCAACTTAAGAAGAAGTATGATTTAGTCTTCATATATTTTAATTTAGTATGATTTAATCCTTTACTATTAATGTTATACCTCAGTTTAAATCAATAACATCTTATGTGATAATTTAGGTCCTTATAAGTTCAAATATTAGATAAATTAAACCTTATTCTCTTAAATTTTGAGTTTAAATATTTAAGGGTAAACTATGCATTTAGTACCTAAATTATTTGTTTTGATCCTTTTAGTACCTAAACTTTCACTTTTTTCGAAATCATGCCTAAAGTTTAGTTTTTGTTTTATTTTAGTACCGCACCGTTAAAAACTTAACGCGTTTAGTACCTAAATTATCAGTTTTGGTCCATTTTAGTACATAGACCTTCCATTTTTTTCCAAAATTAACTTTAAATTTTCAACAAGGGTACTAAAATGAAACAAAAACTAAACTTTAGGATTTTGAAAAATTGAAAGTTTATGTGCTAAAACGGACCAAAATTGATAGTTTAGATACTAAATACGTAATTTACCCAATATTTAACAAGTCCTTATTCTTAAAGTTTAAGAATTTAACCTATTATGATATTCGATTCTGACTATGTTCATATGCATATACACTTGAATATGCATTGCAATTAAGGATGGATTATGAGTATCTGACTCGAACTTGATGGATTTTGACCTGACTTCATTAGATATTTTTTTGTTAAAAAAAATAGGTTCTAGTTGGGTCAAGATTTTTGAAAGATCGGGTCGGATTCAAATTTAAGGTGTAAATTATTCTAATCTAAGTGTCTAACCAAATATAATATTATAATTATCTTTTATATATTTAGAGATAATTGCAATAATACCTCTAGTATCTCTATTTGTATTTTTAATTAGATCATTATTTTACCATATATATATCAGATAGAGTCGGATCAGGTTCGAGTTTAAAAAAAATTAAATCAAATTTCAAGTAAGGTGCAACCTAGTAAACCTATATCAAATACATGTGGAAAAGTTTAATTTTCAAATCGGATTCATATGGGCCAAAACCCCTAATTTTAATGAATGGCCCGTCACCAGCGAAACAAGCACATATGAAATATGATTAATTCAATGGATAAACTACATCAGTTACCATCGAACTTTAGACGTTGTATCGATTTTACCATTAAACTTATAATTTTGTCAATTATAGCACTAAACTTTGACTTCCGTTTCAGTTATACCACTGGGTTATTAAATTATTAACGATCGAATCAAAACGACGCCGTTTTGGTGAGGTGTCTATGCCGGAAGCCATTAGCCATGTCATCGGGGCCGTTAACGATGTAAAGGTTCAGTGATATAATTGAAAAGAAAATCGAAGTTGAGTGTTATGATTGGGAAAATTGAAAGTTCAGTGATATAAACGATACAACACCTAAAGTTTTGTGGTATCTGATGTAATTTACCTTGATTCAAGTAGCAAAGACAACACAATACCTGAGAATGCTTGTCTGGTCTCGAAACTATTCTCAGCACAATCTGCACATTCTCCATCCCCGATCACTTCAAATGCTGCAGCATCGCAAAAGCTCGTAACAAACAGCAACCACGACACCAACAAGCACACTGTAAACACCCGTTTTTGTCCGGGGTTCTCATTCGAGTCTTTACTCCATTTTTATATGTTACTAAATAGTTATTATTATCAAGTTTTGCATGTGTTTATTTATTTATGTTATTATTAGTGTATTAGTTGTATGGGTGTGTTGAATTACATAATGGTTTTCTATTTGTCTATGTAGTCATGCATGTGATTACATATATATATATATATATATATATATATATATATATATATATATATACATAGATAAATATGATAAAGGGATTCACTAATTAAATGCTTTGTTTTTGCAGGCCCAACAAACCAAATCAGACCCAAACCCGAAGACCCAATTACATTTGACCTAACAAGCTAAACCCGACCCGGATCCGGTTGCAGCTCCCACGTGCTGTTGTCGTCCACGAGCAAACCAAGTTTCAGTCACAGAGCACCAAACCGACAACATCCAATAGACCCATGTCTCCCACATGAAATTTGCAACAAATCCACCAAAGATAAGAAATGATCAATCATCCACAGAACAAGATCAAAGTCAATACCTGCTCAACCAAATATCACCAAATGCAGAGAAAATCAATATGCAACGACAAAGGATTAGGTGAAGAAAAAATAAATAAATCAAGAAGATGGGAGCTCAGTCAAAAAAAAAAAAAAGGAGAGAAGTCAGGAACCATTCGAACAACTGCAGGCAACCATTCGAGCAGGATTTTTTTTATCAACAACCGGGCCATTCGAATAGGGAGAGGGGTCGGCTTTTCAAGAGGGCAACGAATTGGAACAAAAATTCATCGACAACAGGGTGGTTTCGTTGTAACAAAAGGAGAGGGTCTCAATCTTTCCTTCGAATTTACACAAGAAAATCAATGTAAAAAAAAAGTGCAACCCTACCACTGTATTTTTTCTTAAAAAAAACGAGGAAGCAATAGAAAGCAAAGAGCTTTTTTCTGGTAATTTCGATCTTTCCATTTCCAGTATGGTCTATTCATGCTTTTATTTCGAAATAAGTAGAAATAAGAGAGAACAAGTTCCTTACCTTTCGATATAGTCATTGCCACCGAGAGGGGAGAGCCTAGGTCTTGCGTGTAGTGGAACCTCATTTGGAGGTTTAAAGAGTGTCTAGAAACCCTTAGTTTAGAATTGTTGAGAAGTGGACTGCTGGTTTTGTGAGTTTTCTCGTTGAAGGATAAGAGGGGAGAGGAGAGCAAGGTTGCGGCCAAGTGAGGAAAAGGTGAAACTAAATGAGGCTTAGGGAAGCTCACGCCTGGCTAAGGGGGAAACCGTGTGAGCGATCCTTTAATCTTCTCAGTGTTCTGCTTTTAATTTTCAGGTTAACGAAATTCTAATTTGGTCCTTAGTTTGGTTAGGGTAAATTTCTACTTATTTATGCATTGAATATGCCATCTTTGAAGTTTTGTGTTTCAATCCCGCATAAATATGAGTTATTTCTGATTTTGATGCTCGTAATGTTATTTGGTTACATTCTAATCACTCGTTTGTTAATGAAAAATTATGAACTTGGTACCTAGAATATGATTGTTTTTGTGGCTCATGACTCAATGTTTAGGCAATTCATTATTTTAGGTTCAGATTTGTAGTTCTTTTTCAATTTAGTCACAAATTTTTACCACTTATTTTTTATTTATTTATTTTCACAATAGCTCGTCGTTTGTTTTCTTTAGGTTGTTAACCTTAAGTCTGTCCTGTTTATACTTTAGTCCATGTTAAGTTTTTTTTATTTTGCAAATGCACGTATGGTCAGTTAGGGTTTTCTTTGAATGTATGGTTATTGTATGTTTGAATGATGATTTATATATATATGCATGTACATATGTTATTTTAATTGTGAGGTTCATAAGCATATATTTAGATGTAATATATCCTTTATTTTAATTAATTTTTGTATGATAGCCTCACTTGCATAACTTGACATCTACATAATTGGATTAAGGGTAATACCCTTTTAATTTAAATTCGTTTTAAGTGGGCTGTCTTAGCTATTAGAGGTCCGCTTTTAACGATTTTAAATTAAAAGTGTATCCCATTAGTGACACCTAAAAATTGATCTATCACTTTAAAATTTGGGAACGGAAGATAAAGAAATGTTCGGTTATTTAAATTTATCGAGAAAAGGTTGTTATAACTATTTAAGATCTGGTCTCGATATTTTAAATAATCGAACATTCTTTATCTTTCTAAAGGTTAGGTATTTTAATTTAATCTATTTTGGTGATTTTAAATATTGTAAATTCCATGTGTTGTTATTTTGTCGGGGATCATAAATCAAATAAAAATCGAATTTATAAATTTCATTGCAAAGACATTAATTAACCGACTAGGTACCAATTTAGGGCGCTGTGGGGGTGCTAATCCTTCCCCACGCGTAACCGACTCCCGAACTCATTTTCTGGCAACGCAGACTTTAAATTGTTGTTTTAATTAAAATTAACTTTTATTTAAAATGACAAAACATTTTTGGGTGTCCAATCACACCCTAATCAAGGATTGGTGGCGACTCTTCGAACCTGTGTTTTTATCGTGAATGAATTCCCAAATTTTCGAAACGAGAGGTTTTCTAAAATCGCATTGTTTTTAATTAAAAATTGTAATCTTAAGAGAATAATTAAAAATGACGCGGTTTCCAAAATCTCGCACTTGAGAAAAAATCGTTTCGACAGCTTGGCGACTCTGCTGGGGACTTTTTTTAGAGAGTCAGGCCGATAGTCGATTAATTAATTGTCTTTGCAATTGAAAGTTATATATTCGTTCTAATTTGGTTTTTGATCCCCTGTTTGATTTTAATGTTGTTTGTTCGGAATTTGATTAGCATATAAATAGTTGTACTGATCTGTTTGCTATTTGTTTCAGATTAATTATGTGTTTAAAGAGGATTGATCCTTTGAGTGTTTTGTGATTATGTGTTGTTTTATTTTCGCTTTTCCTCACACACTGCACAGTTGCATTTGCATAACATGAGCTAAAACCCCGCTCCGTCCTATTTAAGTAAGAGTGAAAGACTACTCCCTCGTGTGGTTTTCACCTCCGCATGGGATAGTGGATCGCTCCTGGAGCTCACGCCTTATGGTCCTCGTGATGGTATTCACTTCCGCATGGACATAAGGAGGTGTGTTCCCTCGAAATTGAACTCGATCCTTAAAGCCTGTGATGGACCAGGATTGAGGGTTCGACAGCCCAAGGGGGCACCAACAAGGAAAATTCGAGAACCTATTACTTTAGAACCGAACCCAGCATATAGTAAACATAGAGCCTGAACTTAGGTCGAGCCTAACCCGAACCTTAAGAATCCCGTGAGGAGTGTACACAAGGAAAAGCTTTTTGGGTCATTTATTTTCGTTTTTGTGAATAAATGCATGCGAACTAGAAATCATGCGGTTAGGTTTATTTTCTCGAACAAGCATGCAAATTAGATATCATGCGGTTAGGATTATTTGCAAATAACAAAAGCATGGAGGTAGATATCATGTCGGGTAGGATTTACTAAGCATGATTGGGTAGTCAGCATGTGAGGGTAGGTTTTATTTGTTACGATACTCATTTTTGTTGTTTATATTATGTGTACTAACCCATTTTGGTTTTATGTCTATTTTATTTTTAATTTATTGCATTTGCATATTCATGTCATCCAAAGGTGTTAATTCGCAAGTGATTGACTAATAAGAAGGCTGGTCATAATGAGGCAAGAAATTCTTAACCATGTAATCAAAATCGAAGATCCGGAGGCGTTCAGATGATTTATGAAGAAGGATATCTGATGAATGAAGAAATTTGAACCTGATTGAAGACCGATCCACAAAGAAAGACATCCTGAAGATGTTCCCTCAAGAGATAGATGCAGTAATGCCAAAGACGAGAAGACCCTTCACAAAGACGTAAAGAGCACTTTCCATTAAAAGTGGAGATGTAGATCCCAAGATTCAATCCAAGGACAACCGATTCATCAAATGTGATAAAATACGCCGACCATTTTGGAGATGCAATGCTAGATTCTATGAAGAGTACGGTTCAAGTAGACGAAGAATCACAATTGTATTTTGGCTATATGGTGTAATGAAATCTTGTTGTCTTAATGAAATGTTGTTCTATAGTGGTCACTTTTGGAATTAACACCTTTTGCATTTGCATTTGGCATCTACATTTGCATTCGCATTGCTTTAATTTAAGCATTTTTACATGCATCAATCATGAAAACATGAGAGTAACTCGTGAAGGAACTGTGGCAGAGAAATATTGGGAAAGTCCAAGCATCACTATAATACAAGGGAGAGAGCTATGGAAGATAGGATTGCTCAAATTGAAAAAATTCAACTGCAGTTGCAAGATGATCTAAGGAAAATGCAAGAGGACATGCTTAAGGCTCAAGAAGATATGCTGTCTAAGTTGACAAGTTTGTCGGAAGGGAGAAACCCAGAACATGGAAAGGCCCCTGAGCAAATAACTGGAGAACCACTTTATCCTCCAGGGTTTACCCCAGTACAGTCTCAAAATGTCCAAGGAATGTCTGTCCCTACCAAAGTGCACATCAATCCCGTTGGCGTTGCTGTGAATCTTCAACCGGAACCTAGTTCGCACCCCGAAGAAAGTCCATGTCACCAAGTCCCGGACCTTGATGAAGAGGCCAAAAAGAATGAAAACAAACAATTTCGGGAACAATTCGAACAATTAGCAAGTGAAGTCCAGATTATGAAGGAAGGCACCAGTATGTATCGACTGGACGCTAAAGAGTTTAGTTTAGTTCCTGATTTGGTCCTACCTCCAAAATTCAAAACTCCCAACTTCGAGAAATTCGACGGTACTAGATGCCCTTCTGCCCATATTACAATGTTCTGCAGAAAAATGACTGGGTACATAGGGGACGATCAGCTTTTGATCCACTGTTTCCAAGAAAGCTTGACAGGCTCAGCTTTACGATGGTATAACCAACTAAAAAGAGCTGATATTAGGTCATGGAAAAACCTTGCTAAATCCTTTCTCGACCAGTATGAACATGTGAAAGATGTCAGGCCTAACAGATTGGTGTTGCAAGGAATGAAGAAGAAGCACAGTGAAAGTTTCAGACAATATGCTCAGAGATGGAGGGAGGTAGCAGTGCAAGTGCACCCACCATTAGAAGAGGAGGAAACGAATATGCTTTTCATTAGTACTTTGAAGGCTCCTTTTCTCTCTCACCTTATCGGTAATCCTTCCCGAAGTTTTTCTGATATAGTTACGATAGGAGAAATGATCGAAATGGCAATTAAAAGCGGGAAGCTCGAGGGAGGAGAGTCCAGCAACAAGCCACTAAAGAGGGAAAAGGAAAATGAAGCCACCAACGTGAGCCAGTACTATTCCAATAACATCACAATGTCCCAATCTCAGGGAACGGTAGCACCACCTCAAAATGACAATAGACAAGGGGCAAGGGACCCGAGGAGAGGGAGGCCTCAATTTGATCCAATTCCTATGACTTATAAGGAGTTATTTCGTGATTTATACGATCGACATCTAGTCTCTCCTTATCATGTGGTACCCATACAACCTCCTTATCCAAAATGGTACGATGCTAATGTTAAGTGTGATTACCATGGTGGGAATCCCGGACATTCTATTGAAAATTGCACTGCATTCAAAAGGGTCGTCCAAGCTTTGAGAAGGAGAAATGTTATCAATTTTGGTGACAGTGGACAACCAAGTATATCCCAAAATCCATTGCCAAACCATGCAGGAACTGGAATTAACGCAATCGCTGAAGGAAAAGGATGATTTTTGTATTGAACAATCGGACTGTGGAGAAGCTGCCTGTAGTTTATAAATCTTTTGCAGAGGAGCGCGCTATAACTTTTTTCTATTGTCCATACCCTGGGGCAATAGGTGATCTGATGTAAAGGGTTAAGCTGTGTGTTTTTACTTGCTTTTAATAAAGGATGCATTCCATTGGTCCAAAATGGCAAACATTCTCCCATGCATTTCATTATTGGTTGTATAATGTATATATTATTTCTTTCTACTTACTTATATGGGAAAAGATTCTCCCATATATATATATGTATGTATA